AATTTATTAATAAAGCCTGAAAGCAACACTTGAGCTCTTTAATGAGTCTTTCAGTGAGCCAGGAAGTTTTAGTCTGTAAGCAAAACTAAACAATTTAGTCTGTAAGCAAATCTAAGCAAAACTAAACAATTGGAAGAGGTTCATCAGCAGAACACAGAGCCCCAGGAAAACTGGGTGTATGCTTAAATAATAACCTTCAATGAAAACCCAGCTGACCTGATACAAAAGCTTAAGTGCTTCTGTTTATGGACACAACATCTTTTAAAACTAACTCGTGTGCAGGAACAGTTATTTCTGAAGAGCACTGGTGCACTCCAGCAACCGCAGCAGAGGGAAAATCCCCAGGAAAGTTGCAATTTTGTTGCCATGCTCACCGCCAGAGAGCCAAATTCCCAAAACTAAGCCGGAAACACCCGGTTCTTATCCCTCCAGAGGTGCACAAATAAGGAGCTCACACATAGAATGAAGAAATATGTTGTTAATAACTTATATTATGGCTAAAGACCTATAACCATGGCAACCAGCCTCACTCAAAATAACAGGAACACTTCCAGGTTTTTCTGCCTACTCTGTACTGAAAATGTTTAAGCCACTACAGGTAAGATTTCTCTCAGTACAAGGCATCTTCTTCGAAAAATGAAGGGACAGTGAATCCATACACCACCAAATGCCAACAGAAACCACCAGATTCAGACTGTTTATATCCTGTGCAACTGCTCATGCAATAACCACAGCTTCCCAGGGCACACCAGGCAGCCATGGGAGTGGCTCAGGCCATCCCTGGAGTAATTAACAGGTCAGCAGTACTGGAGCTAATTACCACATTTTAGATGTCAGCATCAGCAGTCCACTCAAAGGAGTGACAGCATTTGCCTTGCACAAATAACCACCGGCTGCTGGCACACTCTGGAGGTCAAACACAGCTCTGAAAGATTTTCTTTAAAGTCATCACGGTTCAGCACTACAAAGATTTCATTAAAACTCAGAGAACCTGAAATATTCTGTCTCCCATAAAATCTGGGCATTTATTGCTCGATGTCCTAGTTAGAACAGCTGGGACCAGTTCACCACTGTGTGGGTGTAACCCAAAACTGGGTATTCTATAGCCTTCCATGCCATTTCCCAGAAACTGTTATCAACAGACCACTTACACCCTCTGCCCAGAGCAGCCCTGACTCCTCAGGCTGTAAACTGGGTGTTCAGAGGCCTGTGAGATAGGAGGGTGCTCCTGTCCTCGCACCCATTGTGGAACCCCCCGCCCTGAGGGAAGTACACTGGGCATTCCTGCCTGAACTGGAGGACATATAATCTTGGAGTCCTGGGACTTTTTTAACCACTCATGGGATCCAGAGGAAGACTGCAGATCACCACTCTCAACCAGACTGAGACCACCACTCTCAACCAGACTGCACCAGCCCTCTCACCAACAGGTTTTTTCCCTCTCCTTTTACTTTGGACTCGGGGGGCCCAACGGGTTCATGCCCCAGGGTGCTGGGTCATACATTTGGGTTTTGTGGGTTAAAACCAACTGTTTGCCTGTATAATCGTATTTATTGTATTATTTTATTAAATTGTTATTCTGACTTATAATCTCTCCTTTGAGTTGAGTTCATTTCCCCTGCCGGTTCACCTTTAAACCAGCACACTCAAACAGGCCAGCCCTCAGCACAGCAACAAATCCCACCTTTGCCTACGTGATCCTGGAGGAGTAACAGTGTTCTGCCAAGAAAAAAAGGAGGATTTGTTTTTAAGGGCTCTAAGCAGCACCCCCGGGGTGCAGCTGGCAGGGTTGGGGCTGCAGTACCTCTTGAGGTGCGAGCGGTCCCCGCTGTCAGAGCTGGCCACGGACGACGTGTCGTAGGAGTGTGCGTCCGTGTTATCCACGTTCAGCAGAAAGGGATCCTCCAAAATGAAAGACTCCTCTTCATCATCAGTCTGAGGGGACAGAATCACCACAGCTTGCTAAGTGTTCAAAGCACACAGCACCACAACTGAAACGCTGGCAAAACAGCACCAATTCAGCTAAAAAAAAAAAAAAATGAAGGAAAGGACAAGACAGTCTCATACCTAAAACCAGGAATTATTTCCTACTTTACTGGACTGATTCTGGGGAAGAACCAGTTTCCAGAGTTCACAATAATCACAGGAGTGGACTGGAGAGAAAATCGTTCGACTAAATCTTCCTTCCCCAGATAATATCTACTCCATCAAAACTTGAACTGACCTTTAACTGAGCTGTTCCCAAGTCTCCCAATAGCCAAGAGAAGGCCTAGAATTATCATCATCTACTCCCGCACTTCACCAGGTGGCCCTAAGAGCCCAGCAGTCCCTCCAGCTGCTTTGAGAGTTGATTTTGCTCTGCTCTGTGCTCTTCTGCTGGCAATATCTTTCTCCTTTCAGTCTTAACCCAGAATTTTTTATTACAGTATTTTTCCAAACAGCCATTTTTCCTGATGTCTTCTAAATGTGGTGCAGTTCATGTTCTCCCCTCACAGAGCCAGAAAGAGCAAACACAACAGCCTAGCTGATGCCAGAGGAGCAGAGAGCAGAGCCCTGTGCCCATTGAACATCCCCTCTTCCACTGCAACTCTGCCTTTTTGGCTCAGATAGATTGTTCTCCACTAAAATCCTTCTCAAAAGGTGCTTTGCCAGTCATTTCCATCCCACGTGTAACTGAGATCAATAGCACTGGAGTAAGACTTTGCATTTGTTTGCACTGAACTACACTTTTCTCATGATTACCTCTCGGGGTTTAAGACTTGCATTCTGCTCCTCTGACACAGCTGTCACTGCATCTCCTTTGGTATCACCCAAATTTACTCAGTTCCCTCCACCTCTGTCACCCAAGGCACCAGCAGAAACAGGACACACCTCTGTACACTACTCCTACTACTCCTCTCATTCTTAGTCTGGATCTGTTTGGGGCACCTTACACCTTTTTAATGCAGCTTTTTAAAAGAACTATGAGCCCTCCCAGGCTCCTTCTCCCTTTAGGGGAAAAGGAAATCCAGTCACCAATTCCCTCATTTTGTTAAAAAGCTCGTTTTCTTTGAGTTAATCTTTACTTTCACGCCGTTTTTCCTTTTGAGGGCTCATACACAGCTACTGTAAAAAAACCACTGAGTTAGATACAACTGAGGCAAAGTCAGCTCTCCCCTGCAAGGTACTACAAGTCACATCAGATGCTGAGACAGTTCATTGCTCCTGCCAGAGGACTAAATATCTAGTTCTCACCTCCTCTCACAACTTAAGAACTACCCAGAAACTCTGCAATTACTTTTAGCTAAAAACATCTGTTTGATGCCCCGACCTTTAACAGACTGTATAGGCTTCAGGTGACTGTCCAGATCCACAGGTGAACATACTTACACTTAATAGAAACCATTTATGTGTTGCAGCTGTGGATACTTTAATTGGAAAAAAAAAAAAAAAAACAAACCAAAATTCTATGTCACACCCAATAAAGCAATTACTCAACTGAGCATGCACTTCACCAGCTATCACTACCAGGACATCATGAAGTTATACAGTTTTATTTTCCCAGAAAAACACAGAAGGAAAGGAGCCAAAGGAGCCTGTGCTGCCTGCCCTTCCCTGCCCAACAGATGCTCACCTCATTCAGGATGCTCTCCAGCGTGGGGGGGGTATCAACCTGAGGGATGTCGAATTCTTTGTCATCAATCTGTACAGCAGAAACCACAGACTGAGTTTAGGTTGCCTACTCCACCTTCCAGACTTTATTTTAACTAAACAATATTTAAAAGCAGCCACACACAGACACTCCTGCCAACGCTCCCCTGCCCGGAGAGGCCGGTGAGAGCTGAGGGCTCACAGTTTCACCTGGCTGAATGAGGGTATTTCCTCTTTGGAGGCCGTGTGAGACCTACTTCCAGGAGCAGTTATAGAGCACTTTTGATGTTCTGAGAATAAAGACGCTATTGCACTATCAGGTGCTTTGCAGCAAGGGAGAAGTTAAATGACTGACGATGCACCTGCTATACCAGGCACCCACCACGTACAGCTCGGGGGTTTGCTGTTTGCTTAGTCGAGGCGAAGAATGTGAACTTGATGTGACTGGGACAGAGCCCATGGCAGGGTGCTGGAACCGGCAAAGAGCAGCCTGGGCCCACCTGCCTGACGACCCCCCCCCCCTCGGGGCTGTGTGAGGGACCCCTGAACCCCCCTCTGGTCTGTATGAGGGGACCGGACCCGACCCGACCCTCCCTCGGGGATGTGCGAGAGACCCCTGACCCCACCTCGGGGCTGTGTGAGGGACCCCCGACCCCCCCTCGAGGCTGTGTGAGGGGACCGGACCCGACCCAGCCCTCCCTCGGGGATGTGTGAGGGACCCCCGACCTCCCCACGAGGCTGTGTGAGGGGACCGGACCCGACCCAGCCCTCTCTCGGGGCTGTGCAAGGGACCCCCGACCCTCCCTCACACCCGTCTGAGGGAGCCCCCCGCCGACCCTCCATCCCGGCTGTGTGAGGGGACAGGACCGGACCCCTCTCTCCCGGCTGTGTGAGGGGACCGGACCGGACTCCTCTCTCCCGGCTGTGTGAGGGGAGGGGGCCGGACCGGACCCCTCTCTCCCAGCTGTGTGAGGGGACCGGACCGGACGCTCCCTCCCTGAGCGGCCCCGGGGCCCTGTAGGAGCGCCCGGGCCGGAGCAGCCCCCGCGGCCCGGCCGTGCCGCCTGGGCGGCGGTTCGCGCCTCACCAGCTCGCTGCGGGAGTCCAGCTCACGGTCGAGCTCGGCCACGCTGAGTCGGTGCACGGGCGGCTCCGTGGGCAGCTCGGGCTCCGCTCCGTCCGGGGCCGCGGCCATGGCCGGGCCGGCACCGCCGGGACTCGAACCCGCGGCCGCAGGGTCCGCCCCGCGCAGCCGCAGTGCCAAGAGACCGCCCCCGGGCCCGCCTTAAAGGGGCCGCGCGGCACCGGGGACGAGGGAACACGGGGGGACAGAGGGACACCGAGGGACAGAGGGACACCGAGCCAGCCGTGCTGCCCACTAATCCTTTTATTTATCGGCAAACCCCGCATCTCTTCCACGCTGCCAGCCGCGATCCCGGGCCCGGGGGATCTGTCAGTCTCCGAGAGAAGGAAAGGGACAAAGTCAGCGATGAGCAAAGAAAAGAGGCACAACCCGGCACCCACCGGCCTCAGCCAGAGCCGGGCGGGTTCTGCCGCGATTCCCGGGGTTTGGTGTGCAAAGCCCCAGGCTGCAAACGTGTCCCAGGAAAGCCTAGAAAAAATGTCCCTTTTGGGACCAGAGACAAAGCCTTTGGGAAGAGGCGGCTAATTTAAACAAGGCAGGAGCTGATGTAACCAGATTTGGTGCCCAAGTGTTTGTGTTTTCTTTTAAAAACCACCTGAGGGGCGGGGGGTTTAGCAACAGTTGCGGCTATTTCAGTGTTTGTGTTGGAAACAGAACAAAGCCAAAGAGCCCTCACCAGGCCAGAAGGTGAGGGGAGTCAAATGTAAAATAAAACACACACTGGAAGGAAAAATACTGAGTTTCGGGATATCAGACACCCAGGCTACCCTGGTGTCTTACCCGGGTTCCAAGGGGACACTCCCATGTGCTGATCTGCCAGGGCTGGGCAGAGCTGGGCTGTGCCCAGGGACAGGGATCTTCCCTCTGGTGCCCCAGCAGAGCTGAACCCTGGCTGAAGGTTCCAGCTTTAGCAGAGGCACTTACCAAAGGCACAGAGAGCATCCTACACTGTCCCTGCCTTACCTGTTCGGCCTTCCCGCTGTTGTCCCTGCAGAGCAGCTGTGCTTCCCTCCTCCTTGGCTCTGTCTCGCATCTGCAAGAGTGGGTGGATGAGCAAGGAAGGTCCCGAGTGTCCTCCTGCCCCCCAGGTGAGCCCCTGCCAGGCAGGGCCCCCCTTCCCAGCTCCACCTGAGCAGGGAGCAGCCCTCTGCTGCCCTCGGGGCCGGGCTCAGCTCAGCAGTGAGGGCAGAGGCTCTGCCTGTCCGGGGTCACCGCTGAGCTCTCAATCAGCTGACCAAGAGCCGGGGAAAGCCCTCCCAGGAACAGGCCAGCCATCGTCACCAGAGGGAGCCTGCAGGCTTTGGGATGCCTTCGGACTAGCAGATCACACACAGGTAAGGCAGTTTGGTTCCTTAGAACCAAAGCAGTCTGGAGCACACACAGAAAGCCAGCTCCTGTGGCAGTGGCTCAGCACATTGGCTGGGCTGGGGAGGGGATTTTTGCAAGGAAGGAACTCTGCTTTAGAGTTGTTCTGGCCCTGGGGAGCTGAACCTCTCCTCTGACATGCACATCTACAGCTACTTAAGGTTTTAGTGACTCATTACCAGCACTTGCTCTCCTCCATGTTCTGAAACCTTTCTTTCCCCTGCCAGCTGTTCCAGGATGGTTTTCTGCAGCAGTGGTGCATTCACTCCTCTTACAACAGCCACTAATTCTCCCTCCTGGAAGGTGTGGAAAGCAAATCAGTCAGTCAGTGCTCAGATTGTGCTCTCTGGGCCCTGGAAATCCCCCCAGCAGCACATCACCCACAACATTATGTACCAGGCCCTCCTCCCTGACAGAGCTGCTCTGCTCCACAAGAGGGAAGCTTTGGAACAACCTTCTCTGTGGTTCCTCATCAGTCTTAGGATGAAGCAAAGCAGCCTGTGAGAGGAGTGAGGTCCTGCATAGGCAGGAGGCTGAACCTGACGACCCCACAGGGCAACACACTGACTATATTTTAATCCCCACAGCACTTGATCACCAGCAGATACAGAGCAAATAAAATTTGCTCATCACACATTAAAGAAATAGAATATCCCTCCAAAAGGCCAGTTGTTCCCACCAGCAGGTCATGTTTGTTGCTGTGCATCTACTGGGAAAATGTTTTTACTCACAGTATAAAACAGAAAGACAGGCTGGCATTGTCCTCTGTATCCTTCCAGAGCATCAATGGAATCAACTTCAGCCTGAAAGGAACGGGAAATAGAGCAGGTGTTTCTAGGAGAGCATTTCTGCTCCACAGGGAAGCACATGCCTGGACTCAGCCCCCCTCAGCTGGCTGGTCCTCACCCCCCACATGGGGAAACACCTCTGGGGCCCGGGTTGGGGGGACAAAGTGACACTGGTCAGAGCCAGGGCCACAACCAAGTCTCAGCTCAGCAGCAGTGACCTGAGAAGCAGGCAGATCTCACCTGCAGGAGCTGGAACAGCAGCTCTGCTGGGACAGGGATGACTATTCCCAGCAGCTTGCCTGGGTGAGTCCCACAGAAGAAAGCTGGAAAATGAAATGGGGGCCTCTTGTCCATGAGCAGAGAAGTGGCAGGAGGAGCTGTGGTGGCAGCAGAGGCAGCAGCAGGAGTGCTGAGCTGTGAGAAACCTCCCTGCCCTCAGCTCTCTCCATGATCCAGAGCTGCCTTCAGCCAGGAAAGCCACTTACACACGGAATCCCAGCGGGACTGAGGTCGGGAGGGACCTCTGAAGGGCTCTGATCCCAGACTGCCCAAAGCAGGGCTGGTCTCAGTGGTACAGGAGGGTGTTCAAGGCTGTGTTAGTTTTGAGCATCTCCCAGAATCAGCTCTGCACCTCTGGGAACTTGTCCCAGTCCTACCACTCCTACACCGAGTACTTTTTCCTTCTCTTTACTTGGATCTCTCCCTGCTGCAACTTATCCCGTTTTCTCCTGTCCTGTTGCTGTGTTCCACTGGGAGATGTCTGTCTCTGCCTTCTCCATCAATCCCCCACTTGATACCTGTCCCTTTTCCTCTCCAGGTGACCAAACCCAGCTCCTTCAGCCTCCCCCTGTACATCAGAGGGACTTTGTGTTAACAACTCTGTCCAGTGTTATATGCTTAAGAAGAAATCTGGGAAGTACAGACCCATTAAAGCCTGAAAATTCTTCATTATATGAATTCTTACAGATGTACCCAAGCACCTGTATTTGGCAGGTTCCCTCCCAGCAGCTGCAACTCCTGCACTGTTATCCTTTGGGCTGAATATTGGAAAGACAAAGTCACTTCAGCCTTCTGGCCCCTGCCAACTGCAGAGGACTGGGTATTGCAGGCAGTGTCAAATGAGATCTTACCACAGCAAAATGCAGGAGATTACTGCCAACTTCATTCCTGATTTTTTGGAAGAGATCCACTACTGTTTTGCACGGGCCACACCAGGCTTGAAATGCATCGACAACTGTGAGCAGGAAAATGAGTGAGAATGAGGTGAAAATGGGTCAGTTCAGACACAGACCAATAGACCAAACACTAGAAGGGCTGGATTCAACTCTGAGGTAGAAACTGTCCTACCCTGGGAAGGTTTGAGATGCTGGATCAGAGGATGAGATCACATTGTAAAATATCGAGCTAATAATTATGTGGAGGAGCCTTCAAAAGAAACATGGGCATGGCTGTGCCCTTTGAGGGACCAGCTTTTCTAGGGAGAACTGCAGAGGGAGAGCACGAGACTTGCAGCACCCTTGGGAGCCAGGGCTGTTCCTTTGCTGGGGACAGTCCTGCTCCAAGCAGTGGCTGGACTGGACACTCCAGAAGCTTCTGGACCAGCACTGCTTGGATTGCATGACAACTGTCCCACATGAACAGGACTACAACCTCCAGCTTGTCTCACCTCTGTTGGAATATTTCTTCCTTCCATTCAGGGAAAGAGGAATGGAGGAACTGACTAAACATCCTTAACACTAATAATTCCTAACAGTCCTGGCATCCTCTAAACACAGAACAAGAGCAACCCAGTGTGCTGACCAAACCTTACCAATGAGTCCTTTGAGACACAGCATTTCTTCCCAAAGCTCCTGGCTAGTGATGTTAATCTGTGTGAAAATGTAAAAACACAGTAAAAGCAACAGTAAGTCCAAAGGTACCACCCAGTTGCTGCTTAAGAGGGACACATCTGCCTGAAGAGGAGTTACCTGAGCACTCAGGAAACTCTCCTGACTGATCCTCTCACCTCTGACCAGCTGGGCACGATGTCTGACAACATCCAGGGAAAGGCAGATGGAAAGGCAGCAGCACCCAGCCAAGAGAAAGCTCTCCCTCGTTTAGGGGCACTACTGGAACAGTGGCTGCCAGGGGGCCCCAGACTTGGTGTGCAGAGAAGCCAAGAGTTGTTCTGGGGGCTGACTCCCCAAACTGGGAGCCCAGACCCACAGCCAGGGCCTGTCTGACTGCCCAGAGCTCCAGCTGAACCCACCAGACCCTGTCACCTACAGAGCAAGGGGGAAGGGCTGTGAGACACCCATCACAGCCTCAGGTTCTTCCTGGCACTCTCCTGCTTTTCTGGCAACACAACTCCTTGTGGGGCCACGCAGCAAGATCTGAGAGCAGGACCCAGCTGAGCAGGGCCCTCCCATGGGAGCCCAGAGCAGGAGGGTGGGCTGGGCTGTCCCACAGCACTGGGTGCTGCTCCACAGCCTCCCTTCCCCACACCCAGCTCAGCCCAGTCCTCACAGGGACTCACAAGGCAGGGGATTCTCCAGCAGCAGCTTCTCCCCTGGCCTGCACATGAGCTGTGCTACTTTTAGAGGTTTCAGTCTTGCTCAAATCAAGCAGTAAATACAGAGCTCCTGTGATGTGTGGGCACTAGAGGGGGGCTGAGCCCAGCGTGTCCTCACCTGAATTCCCAGCTGTATCCAAAGACTTCCAAAACACAGTGAACAGAGAACACAAAGTTCTAGATTGGGAGGGATCTGTGGAGTTCTTCATCTAATGCCCTGCTCAGTGTTAGATCAGCTTGCTCAGGGATTTACCCTGTCAAGGATGCCCTAGACAATTCCATACACTGTGCCATGTGCTCTATTATCCCACACTTCTAATACTGTTATTAGAAAGGAAAAGATCTTTAGCATCTTCCCCATCTTACAGGACTTGCCCCTCAGTAAGTACTTAAAAACACAGCAAGTTAATAAAAAAAAGGCTTCTTGAGAAATGAAGATCTGGTTTTGTTCATCCTGAACAATGAGGATTCCCAGTTCCTTCCTCAGCTGGTCTCATCAATCCCAACTACATTGAGACTACAATGGAAGACAGGAAGTTGCCCCAAGGCAATTATTTCACAATAATTAACACCAACGGGCATTGAAGGGCTGCTAAAATCCCATAGTCAAGAATTCCAAGAGTGGAAACTCCAGTGGCCTCTCACAGGTTTTCAGAGATGTCACCAGGGCAGTTTCTCCAGGACCTTTCTCACTCAGGCAAAGGGAGCTGTTCAAACACCTCTGTCCATTTGCCTGTTCAGCACATGACCCCAAGCCTATTTTTGTTCAGAGAACACCTGCAGAATTGAGACATTTAATTGTTCCTGGTGCTGGGACCACGCTCAGGGTGTTTCACAGGATGTCAATGAGTCCAAAGGGTTGATGACAATAATTTGTGATAATGAGTTCAGCCATGGGCTCAAGTACTGGTGGCACCCTCCAAGATGCTTTGCTAATTTGGGAGTGCTGAGGCTGCTTGGGCTTGGGTCTTCTCTAACACAACCAGAGCTTTTCCAGAACATCCCATGGTATCCAAGGTTCAGCTTTCATCTGCAGGTGTGAACAACCAGAGTTTTGCAGCCCCAGCCCCAGCTTTGCCTTGGCTGCCCAAGGGGCACAGTGTGGTTGATGTTCCTCATCACTCAGGAACTGAGCTGGACAAGCAGCAACAGAGTCCATTCTTACCTTAATAGAGAGCTCCTCTTCCTTTTGTACACATGTTCACATTTTCCAATCTTAACAGTGAATAAACAAGGCCAGAGAGCCCATAATCTCTTCCATTATTTCTCTCTTGTGAAGACTGAACTTATTTTAAATTTTGAAGCAGACCTTCAGAACCTACTTTGGGTTTTCAATGTTTTCTCATAGTGAACCACTCCCAGAACCCCTCTCTCCCCATGCAGTAGTTATAAAGCATCATTAGGTCACTTGTGCACAGTAAACAAGGCAAAATTCCTCCACATATCACTGTGAAATAGGTTTTCTACCCTTAGAATTTTTCTCGTACCTCCCAACTTTTACAGGGAGCCTTCTGAATACGTGACCTGGCCAGAGATGTTCAGTGACATTTGTTGCTCAGGAGAAACCCCCCCTTCCCCAGTTCCCTACTCCTCGATGTCCTCTGAGCAATTATCCCATGAAACACAGATGCATTTTGATCTCTGACAGCAGCCAAACCTGTGCCAGCCCTTAAGAGCTTGGAACACAACCTGCAGCCCCACAACCACCTCCCTGTGCCCCCACAGCACTGACAAGGGGCAGATCTGACCTGCCAGGCCTCCCCATTGTTCCCACCTGCCTTCAGGAATGTTTTCCACCCCAGGGACCTCACAGCAGGGCTCTGCCAGCAGCATCTGAGATACCTCCAGACTGAATTTCATCCTTTGCACTTAACTATGAGTTTACAAGGTCTTTCAAAAGCCTGGCTCCTACTGACCTGCAGCTCTACCTCCTTTTTCTTTGCAGCCATCCCTCTGCAGGAACAGGGTCCTGTGAGCAGCCCTCCAAGCACAAGCACTGCCGATGTCCTCTGATCCCGTGGGTCCAACTGCTGGCCAACCTGCACCATAGAGAGAGCCTTTCACCTGGCTCTGATCCTCCACCCAGGACAAAGCACCCACAGCAGCACCCTGGCCCTGCTGCAGGGACAGGGGGTGGCTCAGCAGTGCCCAAAATCTGGGCACAGCTTTGCTCTTACCTTCACAGAGTCGAGGTGCTGCTGCAGGGCCTGAACTGCCGCTCGCTTCCAGACACAGCAGCCTGTCCCCCTCGCCTGGAGGGTGGGAGAAGGGGATGGGCCCAGCAGGGCCTGCCAGGACCTGTGTCCAGCTGGCAGGGCCCCAAGGCTGCCATGGCAGCGCTGGCTCTGCCGGGGCAGCGCGTCAGCCCAGCCCGCCCCGCTCCCTCCTCCGTGCCCGCTCCAGCTGAGAAGTTCAGCTCTGTCTCCCCTGGAACTCCCCCTCCAGCAGCTGCACTTGGAGCCTTTCTGCCTCCTCTGTCCTGTCACCCCTGCCCAGCTCCCCCCTCCACCACTTACCCCCACTCCAGTTATCCCACGTCCCTCCTGAACTGGGGGCTCAAAGCGAGGTGTGGGATCCAGACCCAAGCAAGGGGATAACCTGCTGTCCCAGCCCCAAACACAGCTCAGTTTGGGGATAACCTGCTGTCCCAGCCCCAAACACAGCTCAGTTTGGGGAGGCTGGTTGGTTTTTCCCTTTTTTGCAGAGAGAGCAGTGCCAGTGCCCAGCCCCTCCCAGGTTTTGGCTCACCCCATCCGTGCCCATGGGGTCCTGGGCTCCAGGGCAGACCCTGCTGTGCTGCATCTCATCACGCAGCACACGAGGTGGGGGCCTGGTCCTCCAGCTGACCATGGTCCCTCCTGGCTGGGGGTTCAGTTTTTGGTACATCAATGCCCCCAGCATGTCTCTTTTTGCTGAAATCAGCCTGCAGAGGAGCCCTGATGATTTCAACCACCGCTGTAATTCTGCACATTGACACCTCTCACATTTCAGGAGCACCAAAGACAACCCATTTCTACTCGAGAATCTAATTTCATGCCCCTCAATTATTCCTGTCTGTCGTGTCACTGCTTCAGCAGTTCTGGGGAGGCACAGCTGCTGCTGCAACGGGTGAAGCCTGGAAAAATACATTTTAAAAAATGTGAAATGTTTGCCTTAGGAAGGTCCTGGCACTAGGTGCTTTAAGCAGGTCACTTGGCTTCTGTCACTGCCACAATGCAAATCTGTGACTGGAACAGCCAGATTGTGTCTCACTGGATTTTCTGTGTGGGAAAGACAGTCCAAACGTGGAATGAAGGTGGTGGGGAGCAGCCAAAGGTCTCACTTGTCTGACAGCTCCTGTCCCAAATTCACTTTGTTGACAGGTGTTACCTCTGCAAGAGGGACTCCCAGCACTAGACCCAGATATAAAGAGAGGACATACTTATCAAAATTCATCAGGGTGGGGTTTCAGCAGAGAAATGGCACAAGAAGAGCAGAAATCCTGATGATTCACATGATGTCCAGACAAACTCTGCTTTGGTTCTGCAAACAGCCCTGGCATTCACAAGCTGCTGCCACCTCATTAAGCTGGGAAAGCTCTGGGTGACCAGCAAAGTCTGTTCCCACTGTGGCTCTCAGGCTGCAGAGGGGCAGGCCCAGAGAGCTCAGATTTCTCCAGGAAGCTGAGAAAAATCTCCATGTTCTGGTAAAGTTCTCTTTATTTACAGTATTCTTCTTTTTGTACATACCTATAGCAACATCAAAAATTATTCACAAAGCTTAACTGAATGTAAAAATGTCCTCATCCAACACAGTTTGTCCTCTCAATACCTGTGGAAAACTTCAACTGTTCTCATGCAGCAACGAGATTGTCTGAGCATTGGTTTTTAGTTTTTCTGGCAGAATTGTAGGAAACCACCTCAGAACTTGTACAGAGATACTTTTACTCACCTTTTTTCTGAACACCTTTAGGCACCGAAGTTCTACAGAATCAAACTCAGATTTGCTTTTAGAAATGTGAGTTGGGGAAGGAAGAGGAGAGATACAGAAGAACTTGAGCTCCTAAACAAACACAGGAGTGCAACTGGAGCACATTGGACACTTTTGCACTTACAACACCTGCCTCAGAACCTCCTTCTCAGTTCAGGTAAAAATATATTTGATTCAATTTTATGAACAAGACTTTGCTTCTGAGGTACTGAGATTTAACAAGTTCTCACATATTTTTACTTTCCCTTTTGTTCAACCCCCAAAGTCCATCATGAAAAATTTGCAGAAGGACATTAAAAAACTGCCAGTCACTTACTGCAATGCCTGGGGAAAAAGTGTCAGGTGCTCACTTTTATTTGTCTTTGAGAGTGGAAGAAGTTACATGAAATGTAGATATTGTCCTTTGCAACCAAATGATAACAGTTATCTGATACACAGCACATTCAAATTCCAGGCCAAACTGTGGTCACATTTTCTGACACAAGTAGTTAACCTTGGAAAAAAAGTAAGGCTGTCACAATTTGACCTTCTGATCAGAAACAGAAGATTTAGATACTTATCAAAATTGGTTAGCAAAGTTACAGACCTCTCTTCTTGCTGCAGCCCCCCTAAAGTTCAGTGTAGGAGAAGAAAGATTTGGTTTAAGCCATTGGCTGCAATCCCTAGTGCCTGTTAGTGCTGTGGAAATACAGTGCCTGCAGAGTCTGGCTTAACCACGGGCTAAACTGAACCCCAAAGGGCCCAGAGCCCTGGACTGCACCCCTGAGGAGGCTCCTGCTGCCCTGCTGCTCCAGGCACACCTGCCTGGGAAAGCCCTGGGCTCTCCCATTCCAGCCTAACCTCCCACAGTCTTGGTCTGCACTCATGTTTGCTTCCCCACACTTCCAGGCACAGTCCCAGGCACAGTCAAGGCCTCCAGGTGCAGTCCAACCCCATCACAGTCCACCCCCATCCTTGTTATCCAGGAATCTAAATCCATGCAAGTGTGTATCTGCCTATGTACAGGGATCTGCAGCAACACTGCTGAGCCAGAAAACAAAACCAAACCAAAGCTCTGGTTTTTCCATCCCTCCCCCAACTTCATGCTCCCAGCAGATCCTTTGTGGAGATGATCTGGAAGTCACTTAACTCTTTGTGGAGGCAAAGGATGCAGAACAAAAGCAATCCCTTAACCACTGCTTGGCAGCTCCTTCTGCTCTCTGCCAAATTAATTCTGCACCACACTGGTCGCTCTGCTGGTACCAGTGATCAGCAAATCCCTCTCCCCTGAACAAGCCAATCCTTCAGCAATCAGCTGAGCAAGTTCCTGGCTAGGAAAGCAAAGCTTATTCCTGCTGATCCTGCAGCCACGTGCTCCTTCCCAGAAAAGCCAACAGTGCCCCTAACCCTGAAGTATGAGCTTGTCTTCTAGAAATGTAAAGAAACCCAAACCCAATCCAGCTGACCCATTCCACGGATTTGAGCATGTTATCAGTACCAGTGACCTTGCATTGTAGTAAAGAACTCTTTGATCTTGTCAGTACAAAATGTGCTGCTTGGAATTTGGGGTCTACTGCCTTCCTCTATTTCTCTCTTTAAAAAGGAAGTATAATGTAAGTTAAGCTGAAGTTCAGAAATGCATATATTTTACTTAAAAACATTCATCTGTTCAAAATTCAAAATAAACTTTATGGGATACAACAGTTTGGTTTTTTTTTTAAATAACATTTCATTCAAACTGTATATAATTCACTGAAGTATTCGTACAGCAAACAATGGTTAACCCTTGAAAACCTGTAGAAAAAGATTTTCACACAAAAAAAAGGAAAACCAAAAGTGAGTCCTCACACCCACCCACACTCACCCAAGCACACACACACCCAAGCACACACCCACACACACAGGCTGCAGCAAAAGCAGAAAATTGGAGGCCCAAAAGGAAAACAATGACTGATTGTTCTATCCAAAGTCCAGGTAGCTCAGGAAAAAAACCCAAAAAACCAAAACAACCCCCCGAGAGTCCTCTGAGTAAAGAAACTACCTCAAGAAAGTTCTCAAGTGCACTGGAGACCTGATCATTTGAACTGTTTCTGCAAAGCAGCTCCCTGCACCTGAGAAAAATGCAGCCCAAGGTGACTTGTGCAAATATAAGGAGTCAGGAGTATCTCCTGCTGTTCCTTAAGGAGACATGAGGGGTGTCCATGGATTCAATTAGTCTTTGATCATGCAAGGTACTGCTGGAGTGCTGTCTTCGCCCTGCAAGGAGGAACAGCCCGTTAATCACCAGGGTTTGGCTTTGTGGACACGCCGTGCCAGGAGGGGAGGGAGGAGGGAGGGGACAGCTCTGGAGGAATCTGGCAGTGGGGCAGAACTTCTCTGTGTGGGCTGTGACTGGTGAAGAACCCACCTGGCACCTAAAAATCAGATGATCTACCCAAGTGCAAGCCGAGGCACCTCCCAGCACGGTGGGACCTGAGGGTTGTGTGTTACCCACACCTGCAGAACCCTGAGGAGAGCAGGGAAGAGCAGGGGCTTTGTCACACACTGCACTGGGACAGGCAGGGCTTTGAGCTGAGAAACCCAAGAGCTGTCACAACTCAGCACACACCAGAAGGACACCGGTCCTGTCAGGAATCCCGTCAGGAATTTTGGCCCCCACCAAAAACATCCGATGAGGTGGGAGGGAGAAGAGAAGCAGCAGCCAGTCTAACACTGGGATTGATGTGATCTAACACTGTGCAACATTTTTGTTAAGAAAAACACACGTCCCAGCAGTCTGGGGTTACACCTGCATCATCACCTCGGCTAACTCAGGGCTTCCTCCCACCTGAAGTGAGAGGTTTTGCTCTTCCTTTGTCCCCTACAGCTCCCAATGTGCTACTGGGACCTTGACAGACTCTTCCAACTTCTCCAACTCAGCAACTCAGAGGAGGATTATTTATTTTTCCTTCCAAGTTTCCTGCTGTGATCACAAGCTCATGGAGGGGGCTGGTGTAGCAGAGGTGAGTATCAATATATTCCTGATTATCACCTTCAGTGCTGATACTCTGCCACAGATTTCAAACAGAGAAGCTCTAACTTCACTGCAAAGATGTCTAAGAACACTGGGACATCTTTCATAAAACCAAGAACCCCAAATTCAGTACATTTTAAAACAATGCACAGTTTTGAGTTGTGTTGTCTGTGTGTGACTTCTTCCAAAAATCAGATCATCTCCTTTAGTTTGTGGAAGAAATAGGAGTTGTTACTAAGTGTAGGTGGGATAATTGCAAAAATTAACAGAAACCCACAGAAATTATCCTGAGCTGTTTCTGTTCCATGTGCTTGGGAAGCAGCTGGATGATCTGTGTAAGTACTAACAGGAGCAACAGAACAGGTATGTGAAAGGCTACTGTTGAGCTTCATTAGTTTAAAAGAATTTAAATGACATTA